TCGGATAAGTGAGACTTTTTAGCTGCCCTGTATCCACACTCCCCACACATGTAGGGTTTCTCACCGGTGTGTGTTGCTACATGTTGGTCTAAAGTAGCTTTCTGTGTAGCAGAATAGTCACACTGGTCACACTTGTAGGGTTTTTCTCCAGTATGGGTTCTAATATGTCGGGATAAGTGGGACCTGTGAGCTGTCCTGTACCCACACTCCCCACACATGTAGGGTTTCTCACCGGTGTGTGTTGCTTTATGATCATCTAAGGTGCCTTTCTGTGTTGCAGAATAGTCACACTGGTCACACTTGTAGGGTTTTTCTCCTGTATGGGTTCTCATATGTCGGGATAAGCTGGACCTGTCATCTGTCCTGTACCCACACTCCCCACACATGTAGGGTTTCTCACCGGTGTGTGTTGCTTTGATTATCTAAGGTGCCTTTCTGTGCTGCAGAATAGTCACACTGGTCACACTTGTAGGGTTTTTCTCCTGTATGGGTTCTCATATGCTCGGATAAGTGAGACTTTTTAGCTGTCCTGTATCTACACTCCCCACACATGTACGGTTTCTCACCAGTGTGTTTTGCTAGATGTAAGTCCAAAGAGGACTTGTGTGCTGCAGAATAGCCACAATGGTCACACTTATAGGGGTTTTCTCCTGTATGGGTTCTCATATGTTCGGATAAGTGGGACTTTTTAGCTGTCCTGTATCCACACTCCCCACACATGTAGGGTTTCTCACCAGTGTGCTTTGCTACATGGCTGGTCCAAAGAGGATTTTACTGCTGCAGAATAGTCACACTGGTCACACTTGTAGGGTTTTTCTCCTGTATGGATTCTCATATGTTGGGATAAGTGAGACTTTCTAGCCGCCCTGTACCCACACTCCCCACACAAGTAGGGTTTCTCACCAGTGTTATCCAAGTTGACTTGTGCTGCCACCTGGCCTTGAACATTGCTTGTTTTGCTGTCACCGTCCACCTGGGAAACCCCGGTGGGAGACCCATCACAGCAGTTCTGACCAACTCCGGTGGGAGACCCGTGTCCTGCCATTGCCATGTTCAGCCTAACGAAAAATTAAGAAATTATACAGATTAAGCGTTATAAGCTGTCAATGATAAAATAGAATTTATAGAAAACAAGCTTCAAAGAATTCTTACTTCGCCAAGCTTTACAATTTTAACCTCATGCATTAACAACATAACCCAACATATTTCTAACGTGTTTGTCTTTCTCGCATTTGATTAAATTTGCTTCTATATTGTTCCAAAATCATAATTTGTGAGATCTTACAATCACTCACTCACACCACCAATCTCTTAAAACATTTTATATCATATTATTTATTACTTCTACGACTACGAACAATGGGTAAAATGACTACATTCGCTAGGCTGGAAAGAGAGTCGGCAGTATAGCCTATAGGTTTGGTCACCAGGCTTCTCTATTTACTGTTTTTACAAATCAGTTCTACGCGTTTCTAGATTTTGTAATGTACGCCTTGTGCGATTCTTTACAATGCAATTAACATTTCCATATAATTTCACGTACTCTAAAAAGGCCACTTTGCCTGATGCAAATCGACGTACATGTAAGTGGCGAGGGTCGAACTTATGTTTGGTTTCGCCCCCCTCCCCCTTTAATTCCACGATATTCACATCCCGAAAATGCCTACAAATTATCATCCTACTGCGGTTCTTCTTCCACAGAAATGGTCTTAAACTATTCCAATCAACATAGAATACTTTTCTGTCCGTTTCTAAGCCTTACCTGCTTCCTATGCTGTTTTTATCTTCACGTAAACCGGAACTCGGGCAGCTTTGTCCTTCCTTCGTCTCGTGAGGTCAGAGGTGAACTCGATCTAGGTCAAGGGTGAAATTGTCGGCCTGATTACCCATGTAGTATATTTGACGTCGGGTGGCACGTTACGTTTTCCTCATAATGTCAACGTTCTGCGCTAAAACCGACCAGCAAGACAACGTAACACGCGTCTGATTTTTTTTTGTTTCTGATCTAAAATGAAAGAGAAATATTTTTAATCAATATCAAGCAACACTGATTTCTGTGTTTTATGATCAACTCACTACCTCCGACAATATTCCATCTAAGGAAAAAAAGCAACACAGAAGGAAACTTTATGCTCAAGGTTCATAACAATTTAATTGGAAAGTTCTATGGATACATCTTGTAAAAGAAATGCAAAACAAACAAGATTTTTTCCTGCTACATCTTCATCTTCATCTTTGCCGGGGCTCTTAGATGTTGTGCAAGCCCCGGCTACACCCCCATATAGACCCTGTTGGGGCACTTTAGGGGGGGGGGGGGCTTGGTCTAAGGCGGGCAGGCCTCCAGCCTGGCCCGGAAGGACTCAACGGTGGGAGCCATGGTTACCGGGCCAGGCAAGGCGTTCCATTGTAGAATTGTGCGGGGAAAGGAGTATTTAGAGGTGTCTGTACGTGCGTTATACGGTTCGCTACCAAATGTAACTTCAGTAGTCAAATGTCGACGACTAAGCTTGGCCGGTCATGTAATACGTAGTGAAGAACCAGCCAGTAGGCTTTTACTCTGGAACCCTGATACCTGTAAGAGAAGAGTTGGACGCCCAAACATAACAGTTAAGAAACTTATTGAAACTGAAACTGGCTTGGAGGGACATGAACTTTTCTCAGTGATGTATGACAGACAGTTGTGGCGAACTAACTTTGTATGCTCCACCTTTACGGAGGATGAATGATGATGATGATGTACGTGCGTGTATGGGTTGGTATTTATACTGATGACTCCCTCGGGTACGCCCCTGAGCTGGCCTGGGCAGTTCATCTGTAGGGATTAGAATAATTTTATGCACTATTTTGTAAAAAGTTGTGAGGCGGGCTTTCCTCCTCCTTTCGGAGAGGAGGGGCCACTGCAGGTCGTTGAGCAAATTTTGTGTCACGCTACTAGTCCGCTGACAGTCATTTAGGGTCACTCGGGCGGCCCTGCGCTGGACGGCCTCCACCGCCTGTATCCCCTTGTTGGTATACGGGTCCCAGACGGTGACACTATATTCCAAGTGAGGCCGGACCAACGCTTTGTAACAGGTGGCCTTGACCTGTTACAAGGCTGCCCTAACTCGACATATGAAAATTCACACGGAGGCACCAAGTCTGCAACTGTGACCATCACGTTCTACCGTATGGGTTCTCATATGTCGGGATAAGTCAAACTTGTAACAGGTGCATTTTAACTGGTGTAAAATTACTTTCTACAGTTGGAAACTATTTAAGCACATCGGTCATTTTACACTTCTGCTAATCACTACAATCCAAGTTTAAAGAGCTGATATTAGTCAAAAGTTTAACTTATAATAATTGCGGTACGCAAAATCTTCCCATCAGTATAGTTTGTCTCTATTGATATCAATACTGATGTCACTACGACATGGTCACAGTTGCAGACTTGGTGCCTCCGTGTGAATTTTCATATGTCGAGTTAGGGCAGCCTTAGAGGCAGAAGAATAGCTAAACTGGTCACATTTGTAGAGTTTTTCTACCGTATGGGTTCTCATATGTCGGGATAAGTCAAACTTGTAAGCTGTCCTGTATCCACACTCCCCACACATGTAGGGTTTCTCACCGGTGTGTTTTGCTTTATGGACCTCTAAGGTGCCTTTCTGTGCTGCAGAATAGTCACACTGGTCACACTTGTAGGGTTTTTCTCCTGTATGGGTTCTCGTATGTTCGGATAAGTGAGACTTTTTAGCTGTCCTGTACCCACACCAAAGTAGGAAGTTATTTTACGCCATTGAAAAG